ATCGCCTGGCCACGTTGATGCCTTGGGGCCTCCTGGATGGTGTGATTCTGAGTCTGTGGCTCATCTTAAAGATGAGGAGACGATGGTCCGTCTAACATTCTTCACCGCACACGGTATTTGTGATTTTCACATCTTGTCTGTCTTTTTGCCTAATGATGACGTAGTCGAGTAGATGCCAGTGCTTGGAGCGTGGGAGCATCCATGACGTCTTGTTACGATTGGGCAGGCGGAAAACCGTGTTGGTGATGAGGAGATCGTGGGCAGCACAAGTTTCCAACTGAAGGAGTCCGTTGCAGTAACTTTAAGTGTTGCAGTTGCCAACACCGTGTTTCCCTAACACTCCCTCCCACAACTTGTGGTCTCTGCCGACTCGAGCATTGAGGTCAGCAAGGATGATGAGTTTGTCTGCCCTGGGTACGGCTCTGATGGTCTTCTTTAGGTCCTCCTAGAATTTTCCTTTTATGTCGTCGGGTTGGTCATAGTAGGTGCGTAAGCGCTGATCAGCGTGGCGAATCTCTTCTTGGGGAGCGAGAGGCGGGCAGTCATCAGGCGATCGTTGATTCCCTTAGGGAGAGCTACCAGCTTTTTGACCAGGTTGGACTTGATAGCAAAACCAACTCCTGCCTCGCGACGCTCGTCGATCCACGACCGATCCAGAAGAACGTGTAGCCGGCAGACTGCTCTATGAGTTGTCGTTCCTCAGCGAGACGAGTCTCACTGAGGGCGGCAATCTGTACTTTATATCGAGTCAGTTCGCTGGCAATGAGGGTCGTCCATCTTTCGGGACGGTTTCTCCCTAAACGGTCAAGGAGGGTGCGCACATTCCTTGCGCCAATGGTAATGGACATCTTAGATTTTTTTTTTAGTTCTTCTTACCGCTGGTGTGGGTCCCCTGCAAGCCGCGGCATGCTGGCCAGGGAAGGGTGAGACAGGACATTTTTAGGACACTTTTTCTAGGCTGTGGGGGGAAGCAGTGCTAAAGATCTGAATACACAAACAAAAAGCAAAGACGCAGAAGTAGGCGGTTGGCTGGGACTCTGGTGTGGTTTGCTCCTTCTTTCCTATCAAACATCTATCGTACTGTCTTGTAACACCTCTAATCTTTTGGCGGTCATATGACCTTACGCTGTTGCAAGCGCCATAAAACCTCTACTAAAGAAATGTTAATGTTTTAATTAAAAAAGAAGCAGAAATAACAATGCTACAAAAGTATTATTATACGTGAGAATTATCAATTTTGATTTCAAATTTGGCTGTTGTTCGTGGCCAGGCGACAGTGTCATAATCAGGTCATGAATTATTGATTAACTTACTTACTAACTTAGTACCCGTAACGCCATCTGGTGTTTAGGGCAGCAACAGAGGATCTCCAGCTCTGTCTGTTTTGGGCCACCTTGGCCATTGAGTTATTGATTTAAGGGCGGTAAAAAGTCGAGGGGGGGGGGGGGGAGCATTCACAGCGGCTATGAGATTAGGAGTTAGTTCTTCTCACCTTTATAGGTAGACTCTACCAGTCTAATTAATTTTTATTTTTTTAAATGCGAGCGCCGTAAAACCCCATACTAAATTAAAACTAGTCTAATTAATTGTTAGCTTGCATAAGCAGTTGTTAGCACTAATTACATAATCAGTGCTTACAACTGCTTATGACAGTGGCCCAAAAGGGGTGAACAGGATCTAAGCTTATATGTTTTTAATATGTGGCAAATAAACTGTTTTGAGCCTTGTACATACGTCCCTTCACCTTTTTTATATGGACTTTGCCTATACTATAGATCTTAATTGTAAAGATTACATAAGCAGTGCTTGTGACCGCTTGGGAGTGGCCTGAAAATGATGAATAGGGTATTTATGTGGTAATTAAACATTATTGAATGCTGTGCACAGTGTTCATTGGTGATTATGAACGTCTTCTACATCTATTGGTGAATTTGACTGAGATGATGTTCCAAAATCAGGAAAGAAGCAATGACTATTTCATTTTGTAGATTTACTGATTTAGTCATTTGGATAAATATGAGAAGCAGAAACCTGACCGGTATAAGACTATATTATTTTTTTTATTATGTAGACTCTGTATAATATATATATATATATATATATATATATATATATATATATATATATATATATATATATATACACGTATGTGTGTGTGTGTGTGTGTGTGTGAGTGTGTGTGAGTGTGTGTGTGTGTGTATGTTTTTGTGTGTGTAAATATGTCACACACATATGCTACACACACATAATGTATATATATTTATATATATATATTATATATATATATATATATATATATATATATATATATATATATATTATATATATATATATATATTTACTTATTAGGCCCAAATATATACATGTACAGTCAAATCTACCTTGACGGCCACCTCTATAAGACGGTCACCTGTACAAACGGCCACTTTCCATTCCCCCCCCCCCTTACGTTTTTTTCTATATAATTTAACTGTATAAAACGGGCACCTGTCCAACGCGGCGCAGCCACCATATTTTAATACACAACCCCTATCACACTAAACAATAACACCTGTCTTAGACGGCCATCTTAGTGGCTCCATTACGTTTTGTCATAAATTGTGCATTGGCCCCTGGCGTTGTGGGCAAGCCGTCATAATCCAATCACCTGTCGTTCTTGTAAGGTAGTCCCTCCAACCGATGATGTTGCGTAGGCCCCTAGGTTCCCACTGCTGACCAATAGCTACCAATTTTCAGCTGCTGGTGAGGTAAGCGTGTGATCCCTCATAACCCGTAAGCCCCGCCCAGAACTCATACACAAATCGTAAGTGAGATGAGTGGTCACTGTTTACCCAGTCTGTAACAAAGTAACAAAGAACGTCTACATGAACTTGTGACAGAAGCGTCGCTTGTTCTCCGAGTGGTGGCGACCCATGTGTTTGTTTTAACATGGCACTCGGTCTTCCTCGTCTGATACATTTCATTTTATTGTCAACCTTGTGCAAAATAAGCAACAAAATAAAAATTACAAACAAAATACAAACCACCACCACCACCACTAACAACAACAACAACAACAACAACAACAACAACAAAAACAACAACAACAATGCGGGTCCTTTCGATTGGGACCTCTGATGGGAATGGTTTGTTTTCTTCATCTTGATCAGTCCTGCCTAAGACGGCTACCTGTCTTATACAGCCACTTTTCTCCTTGCCAATGGTGGCCGTCTTACACAGGTTTGACTATAAAGTAGGTTAAGTTGTTCAGGCTTCCGACCCGGACATTGGCGATAGCCTTGTTAGTGAGACAACTTCCTGGGCCTTCGGCAAATTGCCGTAGGGCGGCCAGTTCCTTTCCACGCCGCCTTTACTTCTCCAACTCGAAGTCAGGTATATACCTACACATAAATATAAAAGTTGTTCTCTTTGAAATCAGTATAGAATATGTAATTTCTAAATAAACCTCTCTGAAACAGAGTATAAAGGTTTCTGGGTGTAAACTGCCCACCTAGGGGCCACGCCCATAACCCCCCCCCCCCCCCCCCCCGAAAAGACAACAACAAGAAGAACAACGCAAAAAACAAAAACAACAAAACAACAAAATACCACCAAGAAGTAACAACAACAAAAACAACAACAACAACAACCGAAGAGCTATTCATTTATTCGATTAGTTGGCTTTTTAGAAAACAGGTGCCTATTTGTTCGGTTAAAAAACGAATACTTTTTCCTCGCATCATGGCTGGACTTTGACCATTTTTTTTCTACTGCCAAGCTTTGCCATTTTCTCCCGAACCAAGCAGGTAGATTCTAGCAGCTAAAAATCACTGTATTCGCGGTATAAAAAAAAAGAATCGTCAGTCTCTGATGATATACTCGATTCCTTTAAAAATAGAAAATACATGTAGCCACAAGGCATAATTTTGGCTATGTTCAATTTTATTGTTCATGGCCTTAGGCTCCACCGTCTAAGTCTTTCAAAAAGAGTTTGAAGTAAAGCCAAAATTGAAAAAAACAACTAATGCTGAGTTTCTATTTTAGTGTTTTGATCGGATGATCAAATTATAATTTCCCTAACCAGATCATTGTTGATTTTCGTGGTCTTCGTGAAAACGACGGGGATGCCTCTACTTTTGCAAACAGCACTGCTGATGCTTCTTTTTGGTTGTTGTTGAGTAGTAGTAGTAGTAGTAGTAGTAGTAGTAGTAGTAGTAGTAGTAGTAGTAGTTGTTGTTGTTGTTGTTGTTCAATTCTCTGCTTAGAGTTTCTCAAAATAATGTATAGGCTAGGCTTACATAATTATCCCCATCAGTTCAATTTCTACTCGTAAGTCATTCTTTATCAGCCTCTGCAATTTTGCTATAAAAAGTGCACGCAAACAAAAAAATTCAAATATTCCAGACTTTCAAGAAGGCGCTCAATGAACTACGGAATGTTCGACTACTGAGCTCTTGCGTGGGACTTGTAGTCGAGTCCAGACTCCGCGGACGGTGTTGTCAAAGATAGTACAAGACAAGATGGGTCACTCAGCCTAAAAAGTGTCCGCAGGAAGTATGCTCTTTGCTTCAGATGGCGCTGCAGTCTGTTTTGAAGCTCTCTTTCGTTTTTCCAGAAGAAGAATAGGAATAGCACCTCCTTGCGTGCGCAGATCGACTGCTGTTCATCAGCAGTTCGAGTTCGTTCAGTGCAGAGTTTTAGGTTATTTATACTTTAATGACCTCTCGCCTTTCATTCTAAAGTCAAATTAAACGAAGAAAACAATCACCCTTTCCTCCGGAAGAGGTTTTTTGTCAGCGTAACCATTTTTAAAAAGCGTTCTTCCGAAATTTATCCCAAAACTTGCTAGTTTCACTTTGATTTTTAAAAACTCAAGTAGGGTAACTCTGTTCGCAAAGAGTGCGCTTTTGTGAAGAGGGCGCCACCAAATTTTGAGGACACTTTTTTAATTGGCTCAAAGAGAGAAGTGGCCCATCTTGTTATGTACTATCATTGGTGTTGTTGCACAATCTGTTGTATGTATTGTAGGCCTTGGCCAAGGGGCTTTTTTGTCTGCTTGGCTACACACTACACTGCTACACATGCTGGAAAGATGGCAGCCGCCTGGGAGGAGGTTGAGACTGCGCAACGAGAGAAACGTCGGGAACTGATGTTACACGGCTCTCTCGTTAACAAGAGAATTGAAGAATCTGGCCTTGATGATACGATTTTCACTTTAGAGAATCTCAACAATTTGAAGATCGCAGGGACTCCTCTTCCTGCCATCTCAGACGGGTTAGGTGGTTTAGTCAATCTGATGAATCTCTCTCTGGAGAATAACCAGCTGACTCAGCTGCCAGACACAGTTGGTAACCTCAAGTCTTTAAAGTCACTAGATGTATCTGGAAATAAGCTAACATTGTTACCTGAATCGTTAGTGAAACTCACCAATCTGCAGTCTTTGAACACAAACCTAAATATGTTGACTTCGTTTCCGGACATTTCGAACTTGAAGCAACTTGCATTTGTGAGCATTTCTAAAAACAAATTATCATGCCTGCCTGAGGGTATATGTGACCCTAGTCTGTGTCTATTAAGCCAGATTGAAGCAGACTGCAATAGCATCACTGATCTACCTCCAGAACTCTCACAATTGCCTCATCTTATGAAGTTGAATGTTGCTTCAAACAAGCTTGACACACTCCCTCTCGAGTTGTCTGAAAGTCCTAAACTGAAAGAACTTATAATAGCTGATAATAAAATGAAAGACAGAAAGATGCTTAAACTAGCAGATCACTCAACAAAGTCATTGCTCAGTTATCTTGGAACATTGCTTGAAAAACGAAATGCAACAGACAGTCGAAATAAAGACAGTAAGAAGGATAATCACAAAACAAAACACAAGAAGAAAAAAGGGGACAAGAAAGATGAAGGGGACGTACAGCGTGATGTGATCTCAGTCCTACAGTTTGAATCGGAGGGAGGAGTGACAATATCGGTGACCCAACCTGTGATGGGTGTGCGACAATACATCGTGTGCTGCATCATACGGAACCTAGATTTTTCTAAATCGAACAACATGTTCAAAAGATTCATCAATTTACAGGTCAGTGTTTTTTCAACTCTGAAATTCTCAGAAGATGTTTTCCTGCATACTTGTCCAACCAATACACCGTTCAAATTTTAATTTTGAGTCGCTTTTTTTCCCCTTTTTTTGAAAGATGGCTAGATCTAGAAAATCTAGTCAAGTTTAATAATTTGTCCTTAGCCTGGAGAATCCTTAGAGTACTGAGCACTGTTAGTTCTATACTTAGAAACTGATAGAGAAGAGTATGTTTAAGCATGTCTTTATTAGAAGCTTTTATTTTTTATCTCTACTCTCTCATGTCTTCTCTTTCTTCAGTCTGACTCTCTCTTCATCAACCTGATCTCCTCTCTACCCCCCCCCCCCACCTCTCTTTCTCCCTCTTTCTCCCTCTCTCTCTATCCCTTTCTCTTTATTCTTCTCTCTCCGTTCCCTTCGATCTGTGAAGCTTTGCAAAATATTTTATGATTTTCAATTTTTCAGACAAGACTACACGAAACTGTTTGTGACAAACGTCAGGCCTCCACTATCGCCACCCATGACCTGAAACTGGTAAAAGCACCACTTGTATATGATGCGGCCCTGCCTAGTGAAATACAGGTAACAAATTTATGTTTATTGATTAGTCGAAGAACATTCTTGCACATGATAGTACCGTATTATATTGTTGAGAAAGTATAGGAATATTAGGAATGGAGGAAATAGCGATCGATATTTAATGCTTGTTCATTGTTTTATTTTTTTAAATCTTTCACGTTAGTTTATTAACACAAAATGGCTTCATGGGGTAATGAAAATCTTATTTGACTTCTATTATATAATAACATTGGATTGGAGGGTCACTACTGTGCACAAGTTTTTTAAAGACTTTTTCTCCTACTCCTAAATTGCTGTGTAACTGTGCCTTTCTTTTGATTAGTGTCTTAGACTTTGTGTGTGTGTGTGGGGGGGGGGGGGGGGGGGGTTTACATGGCAAGTCGGGGCTTAAACATCCTTACATTTGTGACACAAAAATGACTGTTCATTTAAAAGAAGACTGTTTTCACAGTTTGAATGAATGTGCCACTACTGGCATTTTTATTTTACAGATCACGCCCTTGTTCAAGGCAAAGACAACAACAGCGGAAGCACTAATGAAGGAACTGAGGGATGAGGCAGAGGCTGTCCGCAAAGAAAAGAAAAAAAATATGCTGAGTGGTGTGCATAAGTGAGTGAGACTTGTTTTCTTGGATGTTCCTACATTGTCTTTATATAAATTGTGTGTTTCTCTGTAATGGGTTGTTGGCGAGTGCTCTAGTGTGGTTTGCTCCAAGGTTCTTTCCTATCAAACAGCCGTACTTATCTTTCCTCTTTCTTCTTTGTGTTTGTTGCTCTCTTGTAATTTAACCTCTAGTCTTGGGCACTAATGTGACTTGTAAGTGCCTTAAAACTTTGATTTAAAACTAAAAAGTTATTACTTTTTTTGTACATGAATGTTGTTTTCCTTCAAAGTCATAGAAAGTAGTAAATCAAAATGTTCATGCTGTTTTCTTAGACTTTCTCTGGGGGTTCTATTCTATCTCTGGGTTGAAATTTAAGTGATTATTGTGTGTACTTGAAAAAGTTGAAAGTTTAAAAATGCTTTCTGTAGGTCGAATTTTGTGAGGTGTTTTGCTGCCAGTTGACTCTGCTTTTGCTGGATTTCGAACAACCGTCTTACATTCTATAATATCTTCAACACGACACGTGTTACTTGCTTAAGAGTTTATTCTGAACTGCCGTGATTCCTGAGTGATTTGTGAAAAACACATTTTAATGGTCATGTGATACACACAGATATATATAGGACATAACTCGCATGATACAACGATCACAACAACACACAGTTACTCTCTCTTAAAAATGCATCACACATTCAGAACTGTTTAAATTTTTTCTGTGTTTTGAACCTGTGAGAGTACAGCCAGACCTGCTCTAAAGGCCATATATCTGTGTAAGATTGTCACCTGTACAAATGGCCACTTCCCATTCCCCCTTGCATATATTTTTTACTTACTAATGACACTATGTAAGATGGCGACTTTTCTTTTACTTTTTGACAATTGATTGCTGTCTTCGACAATTTCAACTGTTTACCATCTATCCAATATGTATTTTAATAGATTCCCATAGTCTTGCCCTTCCACTGGTAGATTTTAAAAGCTTTTCTGTTGTTGGACACACATTTCATCATTATCTTTCCTTTCCTGGCATAGCTTGCCTGCCAAATGCGGTTGTGAAGCCCACAAGCAAGCTAGCAGCGGTGGGAATTTTCTAACAGTGACTTTTTTTAACAACAACACTAAGCCAGGTGCAAGTGATTAGCCACTATGGCAAGTCAGTGATTTAAAATGTAATCTCAAATAAATCGTAGGGTGACAGTCCACAAAGGAAAGATTCTATCTGTCACATTTTAAAAATAAAATCCCTCCTTTTTTCTGTCTTTTTGAGCAACCTCTCTACACGGAAAGCAGCCTAGACCAAAGAAAATCTGGTGGTCTTCTAACAGGTCTGGGTTCGAGAAGACTTCACTTACTTACTGTATTTTGATATTTCCATCATCACATCATTGTACCATCTAGGTACCTGGACTTGCTGAAGGACAAAAGCCATTACCCGTGTGTGCGAGACTCTGAGGGTGATGTTATCTCCTTCCCCCCGATCACAAACAGCGAGAAAAGTAAAGTAAGTGAATTTGGTCATTTCAGATAAGTTTTTATTTTTGTGTTTAGTTTTAGTAGCGTTTTTACGTCGCTCGCAACTGCATAAGGTCGTATGAGCACCAAGGGGTGGATGTCAACTGAGAAGTCCATACAGGGAATCAGGCCTACTCTGCTCACGTCTCTAGCCTCAACAGCACAAAGTCTGCTTCGACTATCAAGGCTCCCCGGAAATAACGGATCACAAGAGTGTGACAAATATACTAAAGAAGTAGAGGAAAAATGATGATGGTAAGGATTAGGAAAGAGAAAGCAGCAGTTCCCTGTTGCAATTCAGGCACAGTTATAAGCATGACATTGATGAATCAGCCCATTTACAATTGTACTATGCATAAGAACATGTTAATGTCCCCCCTTTGGGAATGGCCTAAAGACCCTACCGTCGGTAGCACCACCCCGGGGTGTGTTTACTCTGTGTGCATTGATTTTGTTGCAACAGCTAGTGAGAGATTTCTGACTTGTATCTTAGATTGTTGTTGCTTTTTTTTCTAGTTAGTTCTGTTTTTATGTGATATGTTCACTAAGTCTCTATTTTGTTGTTCTTTGTTTGTTTTGGTTTATTTTATAAGTTTTATTTTTTTATGTTGTTTAATGTTTTCTATGTACTTATTTGTTTCAGGTTCCAGTTCTTGGTTGGTTGACAGATGTTCTGCTTCTTTCCTGTGTTTTTGATTGTCCTTTTCTGTTCTGTGTCAGATGCTGTCATGGTCATTGATCATGCATGGGTGGTTGGCAGTTGCTCTGATGAGGTTTTCTCCTTTCCTTTTAAACATTGGTCATCCTTATTTCTCCTCCTCTTTTCTTTGCATGTTTTTTATTAGTTAAACCTTGAATATTGAGCATGTATATATATATGACCTACTCTGTTGCAAATGTCATAAAAATAAATCTTACCATCACTGAAACTGATCATATGTGCTTTCTTACCGTGAACCTCAAATTAACTCTAACGTGTGCTTTCCAGATTTCCAAAGAGACCACGGACATCCTCGTGGAAGTGACGAGCTCCTTGAGTCTGGAGCTGTGTAAGAAAGCCATGGAGGAACTCCTGCTGGCCACTCTGCTGACCGGAGTTGGAACCCCTGCTGCCGCGACTGGTGGGTGGATGCGCTACTGAGCTGCCCTTGTTTGAATTTATGTTTTAAAAAAACCCAGGGAGTGCAGAAAAAATGTGGGGAATTGTATAGGTTTAACGCCCCTTGCAACACAGTAAGGTCATTTCAAATGTGGGACCTCCGAATTCAATATACATCTTAGATAGGTCTGAGCCAAATGGGAAAATTTGTATAAAATGAAGTGCATGTTCCATTGACAGAAAGATGGATGAAGGGTGGACAAGAAGCTGCCCATTTGGTTAGAAATTACTGGAGGTCTACGGAAAGTTCATGTATCTCACAGGTCTGACCAGCTGACAGTTCTTCAAAGTTAGTGCACAGACTTTAAAAAGCTTACTGCAAGCTGCTTAAAAAAATTTTCTTGAGCAGATTAGCTTCTTAGAAGTGAAATGAAAGTTTGCAAAACAGTTTTCATCAACTTTATAGACCACAAAATGGATAGTTGCAACATGTGAAAACTGGAGGTTTGGCATCTGTTGTAGGAGCTATAATATATTTATATATCACGGCTTCATTTTCGCCCAATTCTGTTACTTTTAGTTCGCGTGACTCAGCAGCCCGCCGGAGCTCCCCGGCTCGAGGTCACTGGGTTAATGAGCCCTGAAGCGACTTTGCCGGTGTCGGTTAGGAAGTTCGCATTTTTGACTATGTTTAAAACGATATAACTTTTTCCCCATTCCACATAGCAAACCATTACGCGGATGTACTAAAAGCTCAATGTCTTAAGATTTATTCTGCGTTAGAATGGTTAATTTCTCTGCCTTAGTTTTTGTTCTAGACAAGTGTTTGTAGAGTACCCAATTTGTCCTAGTTTAGTTATAAACTTATGAATAAATTATTGTTAATTTAAAAAAGGCACGACAGATCTCTCCAAATCTGTGTTAAACTGACTACGAATATCATGTCTTTTACCATGAGAAATCTTAAATCTGCGCGAGTAGAAATAGTCGAGTTATAAGAGAACAAAGATGCACATTTGCATTTTTTAACTGAAGACGATCAGCGTTAGCTCTTATTTTACTATATACAAGAGAAAGTTACTCTGCGTTTGTTCATGAATCATGCTGTGTCTGTGGCAGCCTGCATACAACTAAAAAGAGAATCTAAGCGATTAAAAAAACCACAAAACCATGTAAATACATGGGTAGAGATAAACTTCTTGTATGGAATAAAAATAATGACAGCTAACACATTCATTCTTAGTTTTTGTGTTGGAAATATGCGCGGACACAATTATGAATGTAAAGAAATCAGTCACATTGTCAGTTATTGCAAATGGTCATAGAAATGAAAAATAAAGCTAGGAAAAGTCTGGTGCTGATTCAGTGTCCCTGGAAAACTAGAAATTATTCTTATAACCCAATTACGAGAAATCATCCCTATTATTCAGTCAAGTTACAAAACCTAGACTTAGCATAGTTTTAAGAAAAGTAAGGAATTTCTGGAGTGTAACAGATACTAGTCGTGTATTAGATCTACATTGAAGATGTATTCTAGCACTAAAATCGATTTGTACTTTTCATAGAGAAACTTCATGGTAACTTTTATAAACTTTCGAGGAAATATGTGAATATTCACGATTATATTAAGACTCATAAAGTTGTATTTAGAGGCATTGCTTCATAGCGAATTGTCTGCCCGATGGATAAAGTTGCAAAATTACAGCTTTCTATTATATACGCAGATACCATCTTTTCTGAGTATCTGCACCAATGCTATGTCGTTCATGTTCCAAAAGTTCAACAGATTTTGACAAGGCCTTTTTTTTATATATTGGTTTTTTTTCATTCAAGCTAGTCCAAAAAAAATTACAATTTAGCATTGCCGACTCCAGCGCGTCTAACGAAATAACCAGACAAGTTACAACGTCCGTTCTTTTTTGAGTCTCAAGAGCAGAAATACATGCTTTGGGTGCACTAAATGAGAATTACCATAAATACAAGGATACACCTAAAATTGTACGTTGAAAAGTACCAAAAATCAAGTCGGCCCAGACAGAGCGGCGACAGGGAGCTGACCCCTGTGACCCCGACGTGATAAGGCGCCCGGCGGGGAACCCCCCGCGGCAACTAAAATTCCACTGCCGGTGCGCCGTGATATATATGTATATATATATTTAATATGATCGTTATTTTTACATTTTCATGGCGACTCTAATCTATAATGTTGTTTGTACCCTTGCCAAGAAATTGATTACGTTTTTGATTAATTAAGGATATGTCTGTGTCTATGGTTGTTGGCACACTGTAACTGAAACCTGCGGGTGTGAGTTTGTGGATTTGTATGTTAAGTACAGCATGCGGAGGGACCTGACTTTGCTCCACACCATCTGCAACTGAGAGTGTATCCTCTACCTGCACCCCCCCCCCCCCCCCCCCATATCGCGGCAACCTCTTAACTCTTTAAATCCTGAGTTTTTTGCACTGTTTCTCTGAGTTTTTTCCACAGCCACCTAAACCTGGTGCACTACATGTCATTATAACCCCAAAAGCTTGCCTCCAACTTCTAAATGGGGATCGACGCTTAGTCATAACTTGTTAAAAAACTTGGTTCGGGAATAGTTCCGAAAAACAAGCAAAAACTAGCACTAAATGAAATGAAACAGTTGTCACTAGTACTGGACGCTCCCAGCGTCCGATGGGGAACAGGGTTATTACTTCCGGATGCTCCCAGCGTTTGATGGGGTTTAACCTTTTCGTTGCCGCGCCCATTGAATTTACGGGCCGGAACTGTGTAATGCTGTGACTTAGGCCCCTAGAATTTACGGGACTGTGACAGAGGTTGTTTTGATACCAATTATAAGGGAAGTTACTGCTAAAATCTTGAAATTATTATTGGGGTACCTTCCCTTTATGTTTACCTCCTTTTCCCACACATTTGAAAGCGTCAGATTCAGATTTTAGCTCGAAGAGAAAATTAGATCTATATCTAACACATCTACCTCACAAAAATGATTTACTGGCAGTAAACACAGATGGGCTTACATGTATGTACAGTGGAGTCCACGTATAACGAGTCCTGAAATAACGAGAAGTCTGTGATAAAGGCATTACAGTAGAACTCGGATTCAACGAGGTCACCGGGCCTGACCTAAAATCTCGTTAAATCCGAGTGTTCGTTATAGTAAACAGGAGGTTTTGTGTAGATAATTACGGGCACTAAGTAAGTAATGCATAAAGAGAAGTCACAAGTAGTGCCTGAAATGCCTGCATATTATGTGCTGTGTAAAAAAAGACCCGATTTGTTCAAATGCACACGCCTGAGTCATCTCGATTGTTTACCAAAAAGTTGTGTTGCTGTGTAGAGCCTAGCATACGGTACCTTTTGATTCCATAGACCAACGCACGATTCTTTATGTAGATCTACGTCAAGACTAGCTTATCATTGTAATAGTGATCAGTTGCCGAGGAAAAAAAAAAGACTGACGCGTTTCTATCTGCGATGTTCAACGCCTGGACCGCTAGTGCCCCCTTCCCCCCCCTCCCCCCTCCGACACACGCACACACAGCCACACGTGTTCAGGCCACCCATCTGACCCCGACACACGCCAGAGTAGACACGTGCACGTGTCAACAACATGGGAGAAAAATGAGCGGAGCCACATCTGCGGGAGCTGTTCACCCTGGAAGCGACCTCGTTGAATCCGAGCTCGCTGATTTAAGTGCTCGTTGAATCCAGGTTATTTTTATTGATTTTAAAGAAAGAAAAAAAACGGGGAATCTATCTCATCTCGTTGAATCCGAGTTGTCGTTGAATCCGAGCTCGTTGAATCCGAGTTCCCCTGTATTCTAAAACCCTGGGTTTTTTTCCTTCTTTATCTTTGTAAATAAAATACCGCTATAGCGCAATCAGATAAACGCGTGAGTCGATTATTGTGGAATGTTCCTGATGCTGTGCACAGCGTATAGACAGGTTAATAATACACAATGTAAAACCTCGTCAGTTGAGAAACTTGTTGGTGATCTAGCGAAACAAAGAATGGGACAGCCCATGTGTGCCAACGATGAAGGCCGAAGCGAATGAGTGGGGAGGGTGTGGCACGCACAAACAAGCCATTGTGAAGCAGAACGCATTGCCTGATAATGATAGGTCAGCCTAGTTTAGATTATCTAGGCCTATTATGCCTCTCTTTTTTCCGATGCGGGGATGGAGAGGTCACCGTGCTGTGATGGATGAAGCGAATGTGTGACATGTGCAAGGGAACGCACCACAGGGTGTGGTGGGGTGGGGGAAAGCACAGCGGGCGAGTTAGCCTAGAGAACTTTTTGTTCTGATCGCCAACGCCTAGCTGTCAACATCACTAATGCTAGAAAAAGAAACCTAATTCGATTTTTGATCAAGTAAGACCTAGATCTAGAGTCATGTTGAGCAACATCATCATCAGGGGAGATAACGAAAAGAAATAGACAGAACACCAAACTCATCGATTAGGCCTACTTTATGATTTACTTTGAATTTATTACTGGATCCCTTGAAACGAGAATCCTGCTATAACGGCCATTTAGTACAGATCCTCTCCCTCTCATTATAACAGGATTCCACTGTATATAAATGGATTGAATGAGCGTTGTATAACGTAGGAATAGCGTCTTGACACTTCCTCTTTACCTGCAAACACTCTCACAACATGCATTCCCTTTATTTTGGTCTCAATTTATCATTACTCGAATATGTGTTGTTTATTTTGTTTGGTGGTATTGTTTTTGGCATCATGTTACTTACTCCAACTTTTCTCCAACTATCTCTCAATGAAATCCCCCCAAAATTATATCAGTAGATGTGGTTCAATGTAGAATGTACATGCAGAAATTCATGAGAAAATATTCCTATAATTAAAAAAGTTATGGGATGTAGAGTGGGGTCACCCCTGAGTAGCCTTGATTCACGGGATTTCCCTGGCACGGGGGCCTATTTACCTGCGGCATTGAAAGGGTTAAAGAGTTAAGGTAACCATACCGCTCAGGGAATTAAAAATGGTCCATTTTTCCTGGTGTGTGGTTGCTCATGTACTGCATAACAAAGGTGTTGGATTGGGATCCACAGAGTTACAGATCAAATGGCAGGCCACTTGTAACCTGGAGAAGGTTCACAGAGAATGATACTCAGAAAAATTGAATGACATGGAATAATTTCAAGAAGCTAGCCTAAGATACAGAATAAGTAAAATGTTTCTCTGTTGCTTATTTTTTAATCCTGGATGAGAAAGGTGATTATGATGGTGATGGTGATGATAATGATGACTGATATTCTGCAGACATCTGGGTACATCTGTTTGTTGTTTGTACCTAGGATGTTATCTCATCTCTTTTCAGCTGACTGAATTTTTAAAACAACCTCTCTACCCTGAAAACCCAAACAGGTCGAAGAAAGTCCAGCGGTTCCATAGATTTTGATTTAAATGGACTCTACTGTTTATTTTGAATTGTGTGTTTGATATTCTGTTATTTCTTTTCTCGTAATGTTCAGGTGGTGATGCTGGTGAAGGGGAAATTGCAGAGAGTAAGGGAAAGAAAGAGGCCGTGGACACCAGCCGGATGAGATTCCCACAGTCTCTGACAGTCGAGCAAGTGAAAATTCTAGATTCTCAGGGAAACTTACGAGTCATCTACCCATCTCGTGTTGATCTGGACAACCCTGCCTTCGACGTAGTGAGGAATTATGAATGAGCAGTGTACGGAAATCACGCCATGCTTCTAGATATGTAAAGGACCGTTCATTAATGACGTCAGCTCGGGGGTCGATGAAAAATTGACATGGGGGTCCTTACAAAGTTTGACATCAAACGTGATGCTCTAAAAGGCTGGGGGGAAAAGAAAACAAAAGAAAGGAAAAAAAAATATTATAGATCACATTTTCGCTGTCTAAAATTAACACAGTTAATTATTTTGATTAGTTAAAGTTGTTAATAAATAATTCGACAGTTCAAGTCTTTCTTTGTTGTATTCTTTAATAAACAATAGCATCCTACATGTACATGTGCATTTTGGTTGATGTCAAGGGGGGTGGGGGGGTTCCTGGGAAGGATGACAGAAAAGGGCAAGGGGGAGGGGGGATCATTTTTGGCCAAATTTTTAGCTGACGTCATTTGTGAACAGTCCCTAAGTGCAGTACGTTAATAAAACATTTGCAGAAGTCATTTTTTGTGTTCTAAGATAAAGTTTAAAAAGTAGTGCTTACTTTACTCAACTTTATAAATTAGGCAATGAAAAAAAAAATCTAGGTTAGTAGACTAGTAGTTTAGCTACAGGACTTGAAATTGGGAGATTGTGGGTTCGGGGGTTTTGCGGCTCAGCTTGATCCGATGTTGTGTCCAACTAGGAAACGCTCTTTACTCTTATTTTCCCATTTGGCTCGGTCCTATCAGAGATGAACATTAAATTCGGAGACCCCTCATATTTAATAAATTTACAGTGTTGCAAAAGATGTTAAACATATACAGTTACACCCATTTTTCAAAACTCTGATGTTGAGAATATGAAACAAGCAACAGCCGTTTTCACCATTAACTATGTTTATCTATAGAGGCGTTTCTTTTCATACGTTGACAAAGCAGGGCTGGCGGTATAATGGGGGGTCATATAACAAGGTTTGACTGTACTGCAATCATGTTATGACCATTGTTATATATGTGGAGGCAGTGATCCTTCAAGACCACATGCTGCATGCCGTTCTCAGTTTGGAATTTTCAAATTTTAATGGTCTTGTTGGTCTTCATGTATGATTTCGTCATGATAGTATTTTTCTTTACTAACTGCCTCTGGTCCCTTGTGGAGCATAACCAGCCCAAGTGTTGTGTCCGTCTGCTCTGTCTCTTTCTCTCTCTGTCTCTCTGTCTCTCTGTCTCTGTCTCTGTCTCTCTCTCTCTCTCTCTCCCCCCCCTCTCTCTCTCCCTCTCCCCCCCCTCTCTCTCTCCCTCTCCCTCTCTCTCCAGCTGTCTCCAGGAATGTCCAGTCCTCCTTGCCTCTATAGGTTATATACGCATCATGGCACTAAATGTTCTGTGGCATTCCTCTTTTCTTTTTCCCTCGTGGGTTCCAGGTTACAGCTGAAATTGTGCTGGTTGCAGGCTCTGTATTGACTAGCACTTGTGTTGGCTTCATTATTTTTAATGTTATTTGTCTTAAGTTTTCAGTCTTCTTAGATTCATGACCTACTTCGTGCTCTTAATTTTTTTTTAATTCATGGACTACCTCCCCAAAAACAATATATTGCCGGTGTCGCAAGCAATCCACCTAAGTTTAAGTCAGTTTGGGTAGTTTTTACACCAGAGACAAAAAAATCTAGTTTTTGTTGTGTTGTGCCTAGATCTATCAGGAATCATGAAAAGCAAGAAAATTGTAAGCCTTAACCATAGAATTAAATTGAATTTTGGTGATGCTGAAAGGTGCATCTTTGATAAAGCTTTGAGAGGGTGTAAAAAATTAACATTTTCAAAATTTGGACTTCAGTGGATTGTTTGCGACAGTGATGATATTATTATACATGCAAGTGAAACTATACTATAAATGAGGGCCTGGATCTGATGACTTCACAACCCACTATACAAGATTTTTACAACCTACCAGATGAAAGTAACTCACTATTGTGAAGTTTTAAATTTTTCAGGAATAGGCATAATTTTTTTCCCGAACAGTATACTTAATTTTCTATTCCTTTTTAGTTTGAAACAGGTCGTTTGCATTGCTGAAGATTTTATAATATGTAACATGTTAGACTTTAAAAAACCAATAGAAAATATACAGATCTGTTATTGGTTTATTTTCAATAAAAAGGTCCTGACCACTGACAGGGAGGAAACCTGTCTTCTAAATATCTAAATTGTGTGTTGGGGGCATAAAAACATGTACCTTGTAAAATATAAATCATTGTTGTTGTGGGTAAAAGTAATGTTTAGGCCTCCCCTTCCCCCTCCAATGTAGTATTTGCTCAATACAACCAAAGAGCGCTGTTTCTTGTTCCTGGAAGACACGACTGTGGCTCTGCTGTGACCCCATATATGGCTGTTGCTCTTTTAGAAAACTGCACAGTATTTTGGGTGGTCCTTTAAGCCTTTTTTAGAAGTTCTGATAGTTTAGAACTTTTGGTTGAAACTTCTTTTATAAATGCAAGTAAATTTTTTTGTGCAATAAAATTTGCGTTTTGGAGCTCTCTGGCTTCATTTTCTTTTTTATTCCGTCTGAGGAAACCAGATTTGTACCTTTTTTAATTAAATGCAGTGTATGTGATGCTGCTCTGTTGAGTCGGTACTAATTTGACTTGTCATGATGAGTGTACGAAGTAGGCCTACAAAACAAAAATAGGCACTTTGATTGTATATATTGAAGGCCCTACAGATAAATTAGCAGACAACAGCCATGCTGTTCAGGTGGAAGGAGGGAGGGAGAGAGTGAGAGTAATTTGAGAATCTCCCATGCTTTATTGAAATTACAAATGAACAATCCACGACTAATTACTGAAACATAACATGAATGATCGTAAGATCACAAGTTCAACATACTCAATCTTTCTTTTGTATTTCCCTCTCTCTCTCCAGCTATTTCCAGCAATGTCCAGTCCTCCTTGCCTCTATAGGTTTATATTCACATCATGGCACTAAATGCTCTGCGGCCTTCCTCTTTTCTTTTTCCTTTGTGGGTTCCAGGTTACAGCTTAAATTGTTCTGGCTACAGGCTTGTACAGACTAGACCTTATCTTGGCTACTTTATTTCACCAATCTGTCTCTCGATTTATTTACTACGGGGTACCATTCTGTTTTGCTATATATTTGTGTATCTGTCAGTTTTGTCTGTATATATTCTTCTTTACTCTGCCCCTTTCTTTGACTATGATAACTGATCTTATTCATATTCGTACCCACACTCCCCCTATTTTTTCCTCGATAACAATGAGCCTGCTGAGACCTCTTTCAATTTAGATGTTGTGTCATTGGGAAAGGCACTCTACACGAATTTTCCTCTACTCGCCCAGATAGGAATGGGTACCTGGCGAGACGGGCTTATTATTAACCTACAGTAATAAGGTCGTCTTGGTACCAGGCCATAGAGAGCGAAAGATCTCGTCTGTATTTGTTTTTGTGGTATAGTGGTTAGATCCTTCGCTCTCACCCGCAGGAGACCTGAGTTCAATTCTCGTGTGGGGAGAACATTTTTAGTGAGTATTTTGGTCTTTCTGCTGGGTTCGGCTATAATTAATAGGAACGTCATGCTGGTCCCGGCATCCACCGTAAATTATTGTGTCGATGGGCGCCTAAAAAATACCTACATTTGTTCATAAGACTATGTATCCTTATGCGCGACGCGACGTAACGTCGTGCCCGACATTCGCGAGGTGTGTATCCTTATACACGACTACATCGCGCCAAAATTTTCAGTCACGTGAGACAGAAGCGACTCCTTCTGCGCAACTCGACGTTACGTGCGATTGGCAGTTCACAACAGAAAGACAGTAGCAAGTTATTTTTGGCACATAGCCTGGAGCCTTGCCTTCACTGACACCCACAAACACACACACACACACTCCCCACTCACGGCGTGTTGACTGTGGGCACGCCTTGGCTAGGTATATTTGGCCACTGGTGATGCTCTGAACCTGCCTACCCCAAGTCTGTCTCACGCGACAAGACTCTCGATCGCTACATGGACCAATCGGACGCGACAGTATCGCGCGACGCTGCGCCGCGCGTAAGTAGATAGTTTGTTTATATAATCTTACTTGATTGTTTTTTGAGCGACAAGGACCTGACGCGACGCGTTGCGCGTAAGGAGACAAGCTCTTACACAAAATTTGCCTGAAAATGTAATACATGTACATGTACTTGTAATATAAAAACAAATTTTTAAAAACGCAGTACGCTGCGCATTTTCAAGATAATCTGAAAATTAATTTTTTTTTAAAAACCCAAAAAAACAGGATGCTCCCATTAGATGAGTGACTTTTGCCGCTAAGATTCCAGGATTACGTCTGAGTTTTCTTTCCCAATCACTTCCCGTGTGCGGCAGATGGTGAAACGTCTCAGTTCAGGGGCTTTGTTTTGAGGTCCAGGTTCTCATAATAATAGGCTAGGTCTTAGTCTTAGCTCTCTCTCCCTCTCTCTCTAATGTCACTCTCATCCCCCCTCTCTCGTCATACAATTCAATAACGCGAGTGCACACGCATACAAACGCGCGCGCGCACACACACACGCACAGCACAAGCCTAGGCCTTACAATGCTCTTTGTGTGACATGTTGACAACAGCAGGCGACATACTCTTATACTTATACGAAGCGGGAAAAGGGCCCGGAGAGAGTCAGTTAGAGAAATTCCCTCTTCAGTCGAAGACTGAGAAGAAAAACAAGGATTTGAAATCGTTTCGTGTTGACAAAAATTTTAGTGTAAAACGGGTTTGTGTTAAAGTTAAACAGAATTATACTGTATCAACGTTGTTCACTTGCGTGATGTACTCGCACACTGTATTATTTATGCACGACATTTTGTCTTCCATCTAGGCCTGTACGTGTGCAAGCTCTTTTTTTTTTTTTTTTCTTGAGAGAGAGAGAGAAAGAGAGAGATTCTTGGAGCTCAGTCACGCACAACAAATTGCTCGGCAGACACACAGTGTGTAGAGTTGGCCAAGATCTAGTACAGGCACTTGAAGCGCATCAGCTGTTGTCTTCGCGAATGCGGAAGTGTGGAAGCTGCAGTTCTTCTTCAGCATGCGTGCGTTCATCGTGATGATGCAAGCCCAGGAACGCAAAACGTAACTTACGTAAGAAAAAAAAGCAGTAGCTTAGATCTAGATCTAGCTTCACCGTCTTTGTGCAAGCCCCAGTACTGTAGGCCTAGTGCACGGCTATCCTTTCGGCCTTCAATCAAGGGACAGCAAGTGCAGACTCTGATGTTCGGGACGCGTACGCGTCAATAACACTGGACTGTTCGGGACGCGTACGCGTCAATAACACTGGACTGTTCGGGACGCGTACGCGTCAATAACACTGGACTGTTCGGGACGCG